TTGTGGTCAAGTCACCATTCATGGTGCCACCCTAGCAGTTCTGTCCAGAGTCCTGGCCCGTCACACTCGGCTTTTGGCTGGCCTGGATGTTGGCAGCCGAACCTGCATATCTCTGCCCTCACTGCTTTCTGAGGGCAGAGTGACCGTGGGTCCAGGTGAGAGTAAAAGAGGGCTGAGAATTTGGGGCCTATAGTCTCGTCCTCTGATGTGCTGACTTAAATCCAGTGTCTGTCTGTTTTTTAACCCTCAGAAGGAGAAGCAGACAAGACGGCAGATGGGCAGGCATTAGCCACTATGGAGGGAAGAAACCCCTGCCCGCCCAGCAGGAGGGAAAGGTAAGGGAGTTTGGACACGGTGTCCGTGCTCTCTGCAGGTTGCATCCCCAAGTTGTCGACCTTGTGATTAGCGCCTTGTGGAAGGTGGGAGCCCTGGGGCAGGCGCACACACAGGATTCGTGTCTTGGGTCCTGGTGTTGTCATACGCGGGTAACTACTAGAGGCAAGCAGCTGCACGCTTCAAGTTGCACCGTGCACTCAGTCTTGGGTTGGCCCCAATTTTGTGCAGGGAGGTTGAGTCTTTGTGCTAGTTCTGCATTTTGATATGCAGAGTGAAGGGTTTTGCAGGTTGTCTGGCTTGGCGAGTTAAGCAGTGGATCAGAATAGATGCGGTTGAAGGCAGTGTGTAGGTTTTCCTTGGTTGGGCTGTTGAGCGGTTCTCGGTGTTAGCGTAGAAATGCAGGTTTGTGCTCGTTTCTGTTTGTGGCTCGGCTGTAGCTTGCTTAGGCTGTAGGTTGTGGGGCCGATTTCAGGCTGTTTGTGGTGCAGTTTGTTTGTGTCTGGTAGTTAAGGCTCTGTGGGTGTTTGAAAGCATTTAATCTCCAGCTCCATGACCCATGAGGATGAAGGATCCTAAAGGGAGTTGGTGTGCTCAGCGTGAAAACGGTAGGAGCAAGCGGGCCTAAGATGCGCTCAGTCTAATAATAAACGGTCTAAGAAACTTCACCTCGTGGCTGGTGCTTTTCTACGCTGAGAAGATTTGGCCGCGGGCCTTTCCAGTTGCAAGCTGGCTGAAGGATGAACTTTATCATTGTGGCTGCCGATCCGATCTGTGTTCTTACTTGTGCAAAGCAAATATTTCCCCGTCTGATGGACCAGTGGTAAAGGAGTGTGCAGCACATGGTTCCTAGTTTACAATGGTTAATGCACTACAGGACATCAGTCCTGATTTCTTTGAGGAACTGAAAAAAAAGGCCCAGTGAAGTGGTGGTGCTTGGGTATAATCTGTTGAAGTTCAGCTGTCCCTCGTCTCAAAAGAAAAAATGGTCCCAATAAAAATAAAATGCTCTGGAGATTTATGAGTTCCTTGGTGGGTTTTTTTTAGTTCAGGTGTTTCAAATCTTCTCTGACTGCCTTTAGTACAAGTCTTGCTGTTTCTAATAGGGTGCGGGCTTTTTCTCTAAGGGCTGTGTCCCTGCGATGGGAAAGCTGCATTGCATTGTTACAAGAAGGAGGACTGTGTGGATCCCCGGTTGCCTCCAGGTTTTTGTGAGTTCTGTAAGTCCAGCTGTGGTCCTGCCCCCCTTGCCTGCTTAATGTAATGTCCACAGGCTTTTAGCCAGCTTTACCCATGTCATCCCTGAGGGGCTTCTCGGTTTGGGGGGAGCCAAACTCGTATTCTCAGCACTATTATATAATTGGTTTTAATATATTCCACCCGGCAGCTGTTTCGGGTGCGGTGAATGTGCAGAGTGGGGCCGTGCCCCGGTACAAAACTGTCTACCCCGGGACACAGCGGAGCGCGTGCCCTGGGAGCACCTTCTGTCGCCCCCAGCCGGGCTCCAGGGCTGGGGGTGCACGTGGGCTGCGCTGGTTGTTGCTGCAGGTTTTAGGGAGCAGCAGAAAAGAGGGGCCCTGCCCAGGGAGGGGGGAGAGGAGAGGAGAGGCCAGCCCACGAGTGCGATGTAGCCCACCACAGCAGCCAGGGCAGGGGTGCATGTCCAGGTCTCCCCCAACTTCTGTGGGGAGTTGCCTTCCTCTTTCAATGGAGGGCGTGGGCTGTGCGTGTCAAAGGGACCAGGCCCGGAACATCTTTCAACCTTCGCCAGTAGTCTGGAGGTAAGGGTGCTACCCTAGGTGGCAAAGGTGGTGGGTTCAAGCCCCACTGTGGTTGGAGTCCTTGGGCTTGTCTGCCCTCAGAGAGTTCCAAGATGCCAAGTGCCTGTGGGTAGGTGTGGAGAAGGAGGTGGTGGAGTGCTGGGATGGGGGCTGAGGGAGGGTAGGGGTGGCAGGTAGAGTGGGGGCTGAAGCAGGAGCAGGAAAGGTGAAAAGATGCATTTTTTGCACTTTGACTATCAGGTTTTGGGGCAGAAAAAGCAAAAAAAATTGGTTTTTAAGGAATTTTTTCCTTTGTCTGAGGATTCTCCTCTTCCTCCTTCTACCCCCAGCTCTCTCACCCCCCACTTGCCACCCCACCTCTCTGTCTGCACCTGCCCACAGGCACCAGGCAACCTGGGACTCACTGAGGACTGACAGACCCGAGGGCTCCAGCCAGGGTGGGGCTTGAAACCACCACCTTTGCTAGCTAAGGTAGCACCCTTACCACCAGACTACTGGGGAAGGCTAAAAAATGTTCCGGGCCTGGTCCACTTGACACGCACCGCCCAGGCCCCTCCATTGCAAGAGGAAGGCACCTGCCCTCAGAAGGGGAGCAGGCTGGGACCTGAACCCAGGCCCTCAGCACCCACAGGAAGAAGCCCTGCACTGTGCACCCCAGGACTTAACTGACAGAGACTCACTTCTGGGCCCCTTGACCCTTTCCCTGTGGACACGCACTGGCCCCACTACAAGGGGAGCCCTGGGAAGGCTGCGGCCTCAGCCTGCCTCATGGCCAAGGCCCTGTGCTATCAGGCAGGGCCCATGGGTTTGGCTCTGCGCAGGGCCAGTGTCCCCGGCGGCGCTGCCCCAGACACTGCGGGCCATGGGCCATCATATTTGCCATGCCAGAGAGGACTTCTTCCAGCTGCCCATGCTCGAGTTCAGAGACTTTGGGATGCAGGCCGGGAGGTCTGCCTTTGTTTTCGGGCACAGGAGCAGCCTGGAAAAAGCAGAGCTGCGCTGCACGTCCCCCCGGGCTGCCGGCAACGGTCTTCTCTGGCTGCTCTGCAGGAACCACCGCGGGGTCCCAGCTCCTGTGCGACCCCAGCTAAGGGGGTGTAAAGTAGGCAGGTTTGGAGGCCTCCAGCCACAAGGGAATCCAGACCCCCCAGCCTGTGCTTCGCAGCACCGTGCCCCGGCTCCCCCGCTCTCAGGGAGACCTGGGGCTGGTGGGCAGCAGCAGTCTTGGGCTGCCCTTGGGGAGCTGGACAGTCGTGTCCTGCTGAGTGCAGATACATGGGGACCCCGGGAAGGCCGCCTGCCCAAATACTCTCCCCTGGGGCCTCATCTAAAGCAAGGTCCAGCTGCAGAGCTGCCTCTGGGGCCCCCAAATACAAAGGGCGGCCCAAAAGCGAGCCAGCCACTGGCCAATCCCCAGATCAGCATCCCAGGTCAGCATCCCCAGACCAGCATCCCACGGCTGCTGGCCTCAGAGAGGGGTCACAGCGCTGCGCCCAGGACACCGCTCACCGCCACGAGCTCGTGCGTGCAAAGGCGCACAGGAGCGGCGCGAGGGGCAGGCCAGCGGGCCCCGCGGTGGG